CCCACCTGAGTTTATCCAACGCACTCGGGTGTGTGTTGTGTATCCCTCTGGAATGCGCTCCGCAATCCGACTGTATCGATTCCATTTTCATTGAAGTCGTCGTATAACTCGGTTGTGCGTTCATTGGGGCCAGCGTGGCGTACGCACTGAATTTTTTTTATTATTAATTATATATTAATTATATAATAATAAATAATAATAACAATAATATAATAATAATAATAATAATAATAATAATAATAATAATAATAATAAAAGTAATGAAAATGTATTGTCAACAATAAATCCCCCGTATCAAACCACTCACTTCAACACAGCATTAATCTAATATATTTATATTATTATATTAATAAAATTTATTATTATTATCAATAATAATTAATGATAATAAATAATAACAAAACAATAATAATATAATATAATAAATATCTATAATAATAAATAATAATAATATAATACGATAATTATCATTAATACTAAAATAATAATAATATCAATAATAATGATAAATAATAACAATAATAAAACTCAATTCAACACAACACTAAACGATAATAGTAAACCAATAAATATTATAATTAATAATAAATAATAATAATAAATAATATTAATAAAAATAACAATACTAAATCTCACCTGTCCCCACTGCCCAGACTCATGGGCGCAAGCGATGCCAGCTGCGGGCTGTCCTGCTGTCCGCCGGCACCGGATCCGTTCGAGGGCACATTCGCCCCCCCGGGACCGGGGGGTTGTGTCTGTTGGGGGGATATGGTCTCGAGAAAGTTTTCAGGCAGGTCTTCGAAGGGTCGATTCACGGACGAGTTGAATGATATGGTGGGTGCGTCGATCTGCAGGTGGTGGTGGTACGGTGTCGAGCTGGTCAGTGAGGACGACGACGAACTCGAACCTCCTCCCGACCTACCTGACCCCGAACTCCCACCGCCCACACCCGTACCACCTCCCAGTCCACCACTCCCCAATAATAACAACCGTTCTAACCTGAAAATAACAATTATAAATCATAATAATAATAACAAATAATAATAAATAATAATAATAAATAATAATAATAACAATTATAAATAATAATAATAACAAATAATAATAAATAATAATGCTGATAATAATAATAAATAATAATAACAATTATAAATAATAATAACAAATAATAATAAATAATAATGCTGATAATAATAATA